TGGTCTATAACGGTCAATTTATTAATTTATTAAAATTTCCGTAACAGCATGTGACGGTTAATTGGCTAATTAATTAATTGGTTTAGTTAATTAATTGGTCTAATTAATTAATTAGTCCGTAACGGTCTATGGGTGAGGGGAGTGAGTTCCAAATTTTTACCCTATACACTTCAACATTTCTTTCAGATCGTGTTTCACAAAAAAAAAGAAAACAAGGAAATAATTAAACTTACAATGTAATTCAGATGATATAACAGTACTATTGTAAACCTTTTCATTAGTAAATGAATTTAATCTTTGACCAAATGGTCCAAACCATATTATATCAGCTTTTGGATAAGCATCAACAAAACATTCTATTGTTATATCAGAATTTTCTTTAACTGCTAATTTATTAAAAGAATTTAATATGAGTGGTGCATCTAAATAAAATAAAAATATTCTTTATAAAATTTAATTAAATTAAATAAATTTTAATTAACAAGGCAACTACTCTCAAATATGAACCACCGTTTGATGTCATAAAAAAAGATTTTGATAAGACTAGAAAAATTTAAATAGTCCATTGGAAAAAATGTTCACTATATGATTTGATGTAATTCTCTCTCTAGAAAATAATATCTTACATTGTATACGAACATCAGTTGATATATTTGATATTCCATCATATTGTTTATCAAGACTTATATTTAATAAATTTTTAACTTCACATGTATATATTCCAGCAAGTGAACGATCAATATTTTCTATTATATATTCAGCTATATGTTGTTGTTGTCCACATGATTGACTAAATATTTCTTTATGATTATGAAACCAATTAATTTGTTGACATGAAGGATTTGCATTAATTAAACATTTTAAAAGTAATTTATCACCTTGATTTAATGTTATATTTTCAATCATAGATAATTTTGGTTTATCTAGTGAATAAAAAATAAAAATAAAGATTCATTAATTTTTATTTTTTGAACAAAAAAAAAAAACAATTTATTTAAAAATATCTTACAAAGAATATTAACATTAATACGTGCATCTGTTTGTCCGACTGTATTTTTTGCTCGACATGATAAATTTTCTATATTAGTAAAATTTATTCGTAATTGTTCTTGATATTCTCCTATATATATATATTATAAAAAAAAAGAAAATATCAATTAATCAATTTTATTTTCAACATATTATCAAACTTAAACTTAAGATAATTTCTTACCAAGAATTAATTGATCATTTTTAAACCATTCAATATTTGATATTAATGATGGATTTGATAATATTTTACAATGAATTATTTCAATTGTATTTTCAATAATATTTAATGTTTTTTTTATTAATTCTTTTTCAT